CCGGGACCCGGACCGAGGCCAGGCAGGAGGGGCCGGGCCGGGGGCGCGAAGACCCTCGTAACCCCCAGGGCTCGGGCTGCAGGACCCAGGTGGGGAGGAAGACGGGGGAAACAACCGGCGGCTACCGCCCTGGGTACCCCAAGGCCAGGATCCTCGCTCCCCGCGCCCCTAGACCCAGGAGCCAGTTCCTCAGGACCCCGGGGGAGCAGACCTGGTGGTCGGAGCTGGGCAGCGAGCACAGCACCTTTGTGAAGTCGCTGGCGATGAGGCCGGCGGACACGATGCCCCAGCGCAGCGCCATCTGCGAAAATCCCGGCCCGCACGCTTCGGGATCCACGGCTGGTTTCTAAAGTCAAAACGAAAGGGACGAAAATGACCTTGACACCCGCCCCTGGCACCCGACGCCGCTCTTCATTGGCCTCCGTCGCGAGGCGACGCACGGGTCCCTGGGCTCTGCGGTCCTTGGGTGCCATGAATTTCCTGCTCTTGTTCATATAATGCGGAGCAAATAACTTCTTGGCCTCAGATAACTGTGTGCGTCACTTTGAACTCTGATACCACTTTTCCTTCTATGCCACCGCGGCCTATCTTGCTTTGCTCTGTACTTTGGTGGGTCCCAGTTGCTCATTAGCCTTTGTGTGTTATTCATTTTGCTTAATAGTGCAGATACCCTGCTTGCAATTTATATAACTCTAAACAGGATCACACAGTTGCTCTGCCTTAACCCGTTGCTTAGTTAGTACGGGCAGAGGTAATAGAACGTTCTGGGTTCGTGCACAAGCGGGATGAGAAGGGAAATGAAAGTTTATCATGGACAATTATAGTTTTGTTTTGTTTTTGTTTCGGTTTTTTGAGACGGTCTCACTATGTAGTTGAGACTGACCTGGAACTCACTATGTAGCCCAGGCTGGTCTGGAACTCACAGCGATCCTCCTGCCTCAGCCTCCCAAGTGCTGGGATTACAGGCATGTGCCACCACGCCCGGCTAGAAATTTTAACTTTTTGATAAATGTGCCTCTGTTTCAACTTGAATTAAGTTTAATTGGTGTGCTTAAAACACTTCTTGTGCATTGCAAATTCTTTTTTTTTCTTTTTATTGAGTTGCAAATTCTTGAATTGTGATTATAGGGTTAACTTGCTCTTTGCTGTAGTTTATTGATTAAAAAAAAATCAAGGTTAGGGCCAGGGATTTAGCTCAGTGGTTCCACTGCCTGCCTGCCAAGCGTAAGGACCTGAGTTCGTCCCCGGTACAAAAAAAAAAAAAAAAAAAAAAAAAAAAAAAAAAAACAA